GGTCCTGGTTCTGTTGTCTGACCCGGTCCTGGTCCTGTTGTCTGACCCAGTCCTGGTCCTGTTGTCTGACCCAGTCCTGGTTCTGTTGTCTGACCCAGTCCTGGTTCTGGTGTCTGACCCAGTCCTGGTTCAGTTGTCCAGTGGACTCTATCTGGACACCTCACAGGAGCTCTTATTGGCTCAAAGAGCCGTCAGTCATAATCTAAAGCTGCTGTTTTTTTGGTTTCCATGGCAACCAAACTGAAGAAAAACAGACGAGTTTTATTTTGATAGAAATAATTCAACTTTAATTCTGAAGGAAAACTTTTAGAAGCAAGTTTTAGTTTCTGTTTTATTTATAAAACAGAACGTTGTCTCATCATCCTGCCTCATCGACGAGCTTTTACTTTGTTCCTGATTTACTGAGCAGCACCTGAATGCAGCACAGTGTGTGTGTGTCTCTGAGCTTGAATGTCTGTGTCTCTGTGCGTCTCTGTGTCTTTTGTGTGGCAACAGTCAGCTCTGTCTCTGTGTGTCTCTGCCAGTGTCTCTGCCAGTGTCTCTGGTATCTCTGTGTCTCTGTCTCTGTGTGTGTCTCTGTCTCTGTGACTCTCTCTGTCTCTGTGTGTGTGTCTTTGTCTCTGTGTCTCTGTGTGTCTGTGTCTCTCTGTCTCTGTTTCTGTGTCTCTGTCTATGTGTCTCTGTTTCTTTGTCTCTGACTCCTATGTGGCAGCAGTCAGCTCTGTCTCTGTGTCTCCTTTGTGTCTCTCTCTGTATGTCTTTGTGTCTGTCTCTGTCTCCATCTCTGCTTCTCTGTCTCTGTATGCGTCTCTCTGTGTGTGTCTGTCTCTCTGTGTCTCTGTCTCTGTGTGTGTCTGTGTCTCTTGCGTACGTCTCTCTGTGTGTCTCTGTCTCTTGTGTGGCAGCAGTCATCTCTAACGGTGCTCTCTCCTGTCAGCTCGCAGCCTTCGTCTCAGTCCCTGGGAGAGTCGGATCGTGGAGCGGCTGATGACACCAACGCTGTCCTTCCTGGCCCGCAGCCGCAGCACCACCGCCCTCCTGAACCGCAGCGACTCCTGTGAGTGTGGCGGCCGAGCATCTGAGCGCCTGCAGCTTCCAGAGAAGGAAACTGCTTTCTGCAGTTCCTGAGCTAACGTGAAAACTACATCCACACGCGTGTGACATTCCTACAAATCAGAATCTTTAACCAGGTCAGCTGTGCTGGTCCAACTAGTCACATACCTTTAACACAATGCCAGGGCAGTAAGACATCAGCAATGCACTCACTGTTGCTGTCCATCATTCAGAGAAGGGTCAAAGGTCATGACTTGGTTGTAGACTTGAACTGAGAGAAAGTTTAATTCAGGTAAACTAAGTTCAGCTGGATCAAAGAAAAGGTGGAATTAAGTTTTTTTTTATTTAATTTGTTAAAAGTTTTAGTTTTTTCATCAGAATTCTCAAACCATCAAAATAAAGTTCAGTTTGATCTTAACAACATTGTGTTTGATCTTAACAACGTTACAGCCATACTTGCTTTTCATTTACATTGTGCAGCCACATTCGGCTAGACTTTATTTTGTTACAGCCATTTTTCGTGCTTGTATTTTCCTTTTGAGTTGTGCAGCTGTGTTCGGCTTGCCTCCTTTTATAAATTGCAGCCGTGTTTGGGTTGCGTTTTTCACCTGTGGCTCTACGGCAGTCCTAGCACTTTCTAGCTGCTTTTATAAGCTAGCAGCTGGGGAACCCCTGGTGGCATTTTCTGCTTGACCAGGTTCGCTGGTCCATTTGCTCATTGACTTCATCATCAAGAGTGGTGTTTCCTGCTCGACCTGATGTTTCTAGTCCTGTGAGCGATAAGATGCTGGACGTGCAGTGCTGCATAGCCTGTTTGGCCCCTCTCCAGTTGGAGGATGAACATGATCTGTGCCCCCCTTGTTGGGGCCGTATCATCTGAGGGAGGCCTTGACGGAAGCGGCCTGCCCCAACTGTTCCGTTCTGCCCTTGTCCCTGTGAGCAGCTCGTTTGGCTGGTTTTGACAGTGCGAGTCAGTCTGTGAAGCATGTGGCCCCAGAGGCCTTGGGGCCTCCATGAAAGAGGACCAAGAAGAGCTCCAGGGGCTCAGAGGGACTATCTGGGCAAGTGGCCCATCTCACCTCTGAGCTGGAACAGATGAAGGTGCTGCTTAAGTCCCTTAGGGAAGGGGGCAGCACTGGTCTGACTGAGGACCCTGACCTGGGACAGAACATGGGCTCAGGGACCTCTTCTTTTGAAGAGGATGCTATCTCTCTGGCAGCCTCTGGAACTGATTTTCAAGAACAGTTTGAGTCTGGCTTGTGCGTGTCAACTACCAGTTCGCACACCTCCTCCTGCTCTCAGCCAGAGGAGAACGGTTCCATAGTGGGTGCTTTGAGAACTGCTCTTGCTCAGTTGCAGCTAGGTGTTCCACAGATCCAACCCACTGCTTCCAGCGCTTTCTTTAGATGTCCTTCTGCTAGGTAATCCTTTATGATTCCCCCTTCGGTTGAATACACAAAGGAGGTACATGCCTGCTAGGTGGATACTAAGGCTTTCTCACGACCAACCGCAGATGGCAGGGCCCTGGTGACCATGCAGGATGTGCCCAAGTTTGGCTTGGGCCACATGCCTTCTGTCGAACCCACCATAGCATCCCTCGTGGCTCCAGATGAGACTTTGAGGGCTAATGCCAGGTGTCCTCGTCCTCAGTGCCATGTCACAGATGACCTGCACGTAGAACTTATGACTCAGGATCTCGATTGGGGCGACTAGGTAACTCGCTGTCGCATTTGTTACTAGGTCTCTCTACCTCCTTGAAGGGCTTAAGGATTGATGTGCCTACTCATGGGTTGGTGGACGCTTCCATTCATACATTTTCTCTTTTTCCAAGGGAGATTGGCCATGTGTTATCTACCCTCGTCCAGGCACGTCGCCAGGTTTGGCTGGCACAGTCTCCCCTGACTGAACCCTGTAGAAGGACCCTGATAAGTCTTCCTGTGGTTCCTGGGGAGCTGTTTGGTTCTGCTGCACTTGCGGCCTTGGAACACTCAGCCCAGGCCACCCGTACCAGACACCAATTGGCCGGCCTTAGTTGCAGATGCTCTCGGTGTCCTGTTGGAGGTGCCGCTGTCTCTACGTCCTCCTCGCGCACTTATCCGGCCTCGCCTACACCCTCCGTGGGGCAGCTGTGACCTGCTGCAGAGCCTGCGCATAGCCAATGGGCTCTGCCCAGATGTCGAGTTCCCGTTCCTCTTCAACACAGGCAGCCCTCCCGGTATCTCTCCTAAAGCTATGGGAGCTTAGAAATGACGTCTGGGAGCAGGCGGTAGTACACTTTACCCTGGTTCAGCTCAGCTGCTGTGTCACTCTTGTGCCCGATGCGTGGGTTGTGTCAACACTATCTCGGGGCTATGTGCTACAGTTCTGCCGTCGCCCTCCCGTTCCTGGTCAGATCAGAATGACAATCATTCGCGACCAGGTGAAAGCTCAGGCACTGAACCACGAAATAGACATCTTGCTGGCCAAGAGTGATATAGTTCCTGTCGACCCCCTGCGGGATCCAAGGGGCTTTTACTCAAAGTATTTTTTTGTCCCAAAAAAGACTGGCTGTCTATGGCCAATTTTGGACCTGAGAGGTCTGAATGTGTTTTTAAAGACTATTCCTTTCCACATGTCGAGCATCAGAGATGAACTCCAAGCAGTTTCCCCAGGCGACTGGTTCACTTTGGTCGACTTGAAGGACGCATACTTTCATGTACCTATTGCGCAGCACCATTGGCAGTTTCTCCGCTTTGCATTTCATGGCAAGCATTTTCAATTCAGAGTTCTTCTATTCGGTCTTTCTCTGTCCCCCTGTGTGTTACCCGGCATGTGGCAGTAGCCTATTGTACCCTCTGCAGGCTAAAGGATTGAAGATCCTGCCCTACTTGGATGTTTGGCTGATTCAATTCAATTCAATTCAAATTCACAAATACTTTATTAATCCCAAAGGGAACTTATTTGTTGTTGTAACTCGTTATCCTCATTTCATTAAGATATGTTATAGATGCTGATGGCTGTAGACAGGAAGGATCTCTTGTAAAGGTCCATCCCACAGTGGATCCTAAGAAACTGGCTGCAGATGCCGTCCAATCCGTCCACCCAGACTCGGCTGGCCTCTCGGTTCCCCCGGGCTGTAGGACCACCTGAATGCCAGGCAGAACTCCTCCCAGCACGATCCCCACTCCTCCCAGTAGTCTGCCGAGCTCCTCATCGCTGCGTACAGCCAACTGTAGGTGCCGAGGGACGACCCCGTCCTTCTGCTGTCATGAGCCGTGTTTCTTGCTAGTTCCAGGATCTCAGTGGTCAGGTACTCGAGCACAGCTGGCAGGTAGATGGGAATGCATCCACAGAACATCCTTTTAAACTCATTTGAGATTTGGGGCTGTAGTTGAGATATTATTTGAGCTTTTGAGATGTTAATCAGCTGCTGTTGGTTGTAGAAAACTGCCTTGTTGCCATGGTTACGCATCATAACAAATGTCCAAAACTAAGAAAGTTTCAGTAAAAATCCTTCCAGCTGCACAGCATCTGATACCAGAGGAAACAGTCATTCAAAAAATGTGATTTACATCCAGAAAAAGAGGAAATAAAGTTTCCAAAAGCAAAATCTCAGAATGAATTTAACAGAGCTGCTCCAAGATGCAGTCACCTTGAGCGACACAATTCTAGAACATGATTTGTGCGCCAACAAAGCTCAGGCAGCGGCGGACACATGGTGCTTGATCACATAGACCTATTAGGTCTTCGTGTGAACTGGCAGAAGAGCAACTAGTTCTCTTTAAGGAGGTCACGTTTCTGGGAACCACAATGATCTCCCCCACCATGGTGGCTTGCCTGTCGCCACAGTGTGTCAGCGGGATTCTGCAGATGCTGCCTGCCCACCTTCCTGCCCGGCCATGCACCCCCCCCCCTTCATTGTGTACCTCTGCTTTTTAGGCAAGCTGATTCCTGCCTCTATGGTGGTACCTCTGGGGCTGTTGTCTCTGCGCCCTCTACAGATGTGGCTCAACAGCCTGCGGCTGGATCTGACTCATGCAGTGCACCAATGCAGGAAGTTGTGGGTGTCCCCTCAGTGTCTTGCATCACTGGCTCAGTGGCAAGATGCAGTGTTTATGCTGGGCTCTCTGCCATTTTGGAGGGAGGTTGTTTGTACCAATGCATCCACCACAGGAAGGGGCATCGTGGCAGCGACAGATTGCCCAAGGGATGTGGTCTCTGTGACAAAGGGTGAAGCACATCAATGCCTTGGAGCTGGATGCTGTTCGGCTGGCACTGAAACATTTCATCCTGGGCCTGCGTGGGAAGCATGTCCTGGTGCGGTCCGACAATACTTTGGTAGTTTTTCATGTCAACCATCAAGGGGGAACACGGTTGCTGACATTGCTACAGCTGACCCAAAAGCTCTTACTTTGGGCAGCCCCCCTCTTTGCCAGCCTGAGGGCAGCTTACATTCTAGAGGTGCAGAATGGGCCAGCCGATTTTCTGTCTCGGGGACGCCCACCACTTGGGGAGTGGAGGTTCCATCCGGAGGTGGTGAGGGTAATTTGGGAGAGGTACAGCAAGGCAGCTGTGGAATTATTTGCATCCCAAGAGACGACACACTGCTCGCTTTGGTTCTCTCTGGCAAGCAGTGCCAGTCCCCTGGGTCAGGAAGCACTGGTACACAACTGGCCTAGGACACTGCTTTATGCTTTTTCGCCGCTTCCCCTGATAGGCCCAACACTCCTGAGAATTCTTCAAGAGGGACATCAAGTCCTCCTAGTGGCTCCTCTCTGGCCTGGGAGAACTTTGTTTCCACTGCTGCACAGGCTCTTTTGCAGCACTCCAGTGCCTATACCCCACAGGAAGGACCTGCTGTCACAGTTGGGGGGGGTCAGATCCTGAACCCCAATCCCAGTCGCATCCAGCTCTGGGCTTGGCCGCTACAGGGCCCAGCATTACCTTCTCAGAATATGACGGAGATGTTGGACATACAATGACTAATGCCAGGGCCCCTTCCACAAGACTGGTGTACACTCATAAGTGGAAGGTTTTTAGCAACTGGTGTTGTGCTAGATACGAGGACCCTGTACACTGTTCTCTTTCTGTTATTCTTACCTTCCTTCAGGCACTACATTTTCAAGGCTGGTCTCTGTCCACTCTGAAAGTTTATGTCGCTGCCATCTCTTGCTGGCATACGATAGTGGATGAGGAGACAATAGGTCATAACAAGGATGTGCCCTTGTTTCTGAGAGGCACGCAACGTCTGCACCCTCCCACATGCCTTGTTGTGCCTGTGTGGGACCTCTTTCTGGTCCTCGATGCCTTGCGGTCTGCTCCATTTGATCGTTTGGCAGAGGTGAGCTTTGAGTGCTTGTCTAAAAAGACCGTGTTTTTCCTGACCATGGCTTCGGCAAAATGAATAGGTGAACTCCATGCATTGTCTGTTCACGAGTACTGTTGCCGTTGAACCCAGCTGGTTCAGGCGTTACTCTCTGGCCTAATGTAGCGTTCCTCTCTAAGGCGGCCTCATCTGCGAACCACTCTGCCTCTCCAGCCTGCTTGCTTTGATGAAGGTGGCGCTGATGAGTCTCTCTGCCCTGTTCGGGCACTGGAAGCGTACGTCAGATGGGCAGCTTCTCTGTGGCAGTCTGATAATACATTTATTTGCTATGCAGGGCCTCGCAAAGGACAGGCCCTTTCAAAGCAGCGTCTTGAGCACTGGATTGTAGACGTGGTGGAATGGGTGTACACTCTACAAGGCCCTGGGCCACCTGTGGCGGTATGATGCCATTGCACCAGGAGTGTTAGCATGTCATGGGCTGCTATGAATGGGGTCGCTCTGGAGGCTATATGTGCAGCAGCCTCCTGGTCGTCCCCAAATACCTTTGCTAGGTTCTACAGGGTAAACCTGGCTGCCTTTCACCCCTTGAAGGGGATCCTATCACAGCACGCATCTTCGTTTCAGTAAGGTGGGCGTACTTATGTTTTGTTTTTTCTTTGTGGATGTGATTCCTCAGGTCTCTGTTGGCAATCATCATCCAGTGCTTTAAGCATGATCTGGCGGTCAGTAGGGATGAAATAGAATGAAAGTTACAACTGTAACTACGGTTCTATGAATCCCGGATGACCGCCAGAGCGCTGTGTCCCTTGGAATCATCGCGTTTCGCGAGAAGATTAAGGGACTGGGCTACCGTTGTCACATACTTATATAGACTCATCGGTGTCACCGGGGATCACACTTGACTATGTTGGCATAAAATACTTGACTTGTGCATGCACAATAATGATCATTCAGTGCTTTAAGCATCGCCTCTGGCGGTCATCCGGGATTCATAGAACCATGGTTTCCGTCATAACTTTTGTAATCGTAAATTTCATTGTGTTGCCATGCTGCAGGTGTGTGTCACTCAGACTCATCTCTGCTCCCTTCCAGCCTCCACCGGCCCATTCAGCTCCTCCCATCAGAACCCGAAGTCCGCCGAGCGCTGGAGGGTTTCCTCAGCCAGCACACCGGACATCACGCAGCGGCCGCGGCGTCACAACTCTACGCCAGTAAGTGGACTTCCTCCACAGTCCAATCAGTGGTTTTCTAAAACAGGATGTCAGAGTTCTGAGGTTCTTCAGAGTCTCCAGACTCAGTTCTGAGAACCACAGCTGATAAACCATACGGAGGGACCAAACACAAAATTCCTTCTCTGATCAGTACAGATGTTTTAAAGTGCTGCTGGTTCTGAGGTTCTTGTCTGACTCCTACAGATGGACAAGAAGAAGAAGGAGAAGAAAGACAAGGAGCGGGAGAACGAGAAGGAGAAGAATGCTCTGACCAAGAAGAGACAGATGACATCATCACCAAGTGCCACAACCCAGAGATCCAGGCCTGAGAGCAGGTACAGGAGGTGCTCCGAGGAGGAGACGGAGGAGGCTTCATCAGTGCAGGCGTCTCCTCCTCTGTTTTTATGTGAAGAAAATGAAGCCTTAAGATCATTTGGTGATGAGAACCTCATTCTGCTCCTCACGTTCCTCCTCTCTGCTTCTCAGTGTTACGAGATCCAGGAACAGACGTCCTTCACCTGCTGCTCCTAAAAGTCGTCCCCTGTCCCCGTTGGTGCCGGCAGCAGCCTGTAGGACACCTGTCGGCAAAAAGACTCCTCCTCCTGCCACCACCAAGACCCGACCCAAACGGGCCCAGACACCTGTCAGAGTCCAGCCTCAGACCATCTCTACGGTCACCATGGAAACCGGTCCTGAACCTCCACAGCCTGAGGAGGAGAAGCCGAGTGAGTGAGGTCACCACGGTACAAAGAAGGACAGCAACACATGAACCAGAACTGAACCTCTGTGTCTCTGTCTCCTCCTCTGTCCTCCTCCATCTCCTCATCTAACAGCTGTTAATGTCCCTGCCATCGTTGTCTCCTCAGCTCAGCTTACACCTCCTTCTCTGAGCCCAGCAGTCGTATGGACAGCGTCTTCATCTGCAGCGAGTGCACAGCCAACTGCTCCTCCTGCAGCTGCCTCCGTCACTGCTCCTCCTGCAGCTGCCTCCGTCACTGCTCCTCCTGCAACTGCCTCCGTCACTGCTCCTCCTGCTCCGTCTGCAGGCACTTCCCCCTCAGCTGCACCAATCAGCAAACCATCAGCTGGCACCAACGACCCAGAGGAGGCAGCTCGTGTCCTGGCAGATAAACGAAGACAAGCCAGAGAGCAGAGGGAGAAGGAGGATCAGGAGCGTCTAGAGCAGGAGCACCGCAACAGGTGAGACTGGGACAAACAGGTCCCTGCAGAGAAGCAGGATTTTACACAACCTCAGGGTCGACCTGCAGTGACCCATAAATCTGTTGAAGCTTTACAAACTGCAGCTGCTGTCACACCTCTCAATCTTTTCAGGATTCTCCGAGAGGAGGCGATGGCCCGCGAGGCAGAGGAGAGGAATCGCCGAGAGGAGGAGGCCCGTTTCATGGCAGAGCAGCAGCATCTCAGGGACGAAGCTCAACGACTTCAGGAGGAGAAGGAGATGCAGCAGAGAGCCAAAGTTGAACAGGAGGAGAACCAGAGGCTGCAGAGGCAGGTGAGCCTGCACCAGGAGGTGTTTCCTGTTTCATCTGACTTCTGCAGGAGCAGCGGGAGCTGGGTGTCCTTTAGAAGATCTGTAAATGTGTCTGAATGTTTTATTGTGAGCTGTGCAGACTCTCGCAGCAGAGGTGGAGGAACGACAGAAACCCTGCGAGATACGTTAACACAGCAGAAATAAGCCGGAATGATCCTTTAACGACGCGAGAGCCTCCAGTAATCTGTTAGGAATCAAACGTCAGTGAGCACTAAAGCATGCTGGGTAACTGTAAGTAACTGAGCATTAACCACACGAGGTCCTGTGATCCCACATGCAGGAAGCTCATTAAGCATCTGTGCAGATTAACTGAGAGGAAAAGACTGTGACTGTGAGCGCGACATCTCCCAGTCCCATGAAACCAGAGACCCTTCGTTTGAGCACAGAGCAGCTGCTGCCCTCAGATGTTTGTTTGTTAACAGCCGAGTGTAAAAAGTGTTAACCTGCAGGCTGCTGCCAGCATGATGAAGGTGAAGGTGGGGCTGAGCTGCATCAGAGTGAGATGAGCCAGACGCTGCAGCAGTAAGTTCAGTTCAGACTGCGCCTGCTGCTAGTCCATCTGTAGATATCATCCGGACCTTTTTATTAACAAGAGCAGTAAAACTTCAAGGTTAAACAACTTTTTTCAGTGTTGCCTTAGATCGTCGTAGTGTCTCCAGCCGCACATGACCTCCACCAGGCGCTAGTTTCAGTTTCTTGTTTTGTGTTCCCAAATATTCTGTGCAAATTAAAGTATATGTACATATATGTGGTGGAAGGAGGAGGTTTACACCACAGCCTGGATTTCAGGTCTAAACAGAACATGTTTCTGGTGGCTGCAGCCTGACCCTTCTCTCACGTCAAGGTATCAAGCAGCTGTTTCCATGGAAACACTGTTGGTTTTTATAATATTCTCTGCATCGCTCATTGAGCCTACAGGAGCTCCTCCCACAGAGTCCATTCCAGAACCAAAGCTGCAGCAGCTGGATAAACCTCCATCACAGCTGTATTTTCAGTTCTCTATTTCACTCGTTTGTTTTGATGCTGCAGAGCAGAAGCATGCAGTGAGGCGTGTGACACAGATCGTGTGATCACTGCAGTGAGGCG